TTTTTTTTTTTTGTCAATCACCCAATTGAAGGTGTAACCCCCTATACTTTCTATATGTGCACCCTGCCTTAATGCCAGGCATTTTCAGTTGCTGCTCTGCCCTCGTCGTTTTTTCATTGCTAATTTTCATTTCTGACTAAATTTCATTAATTTAGCTGAGAAACAAAACATCAGACAAGTTTTAATTATACCCTAAAAAAAAAGAAGAAAATAATTATTTAATAGTTCTGAGAGCACCATACCATGTAAGCATTGTTTATTATGTGGTTAATTCGAGACCATCTAATAATTTTTTCAAAAAAATATGAGCTTTAAGTGATTTATTTTTTATTCCATTTCTAACGGGCATCCAATTTTTCTGAAGTGATGAATTTTCTGCTCTATTCTCATCAGTCAGATACCTCCGTCACTAGGTAGTAACACAAAAGAAACTATATAAGTAAATACAAGCACATGCATATTTTAAATTAAAAAAGGAAAGGAAAAGAAAATTCATAAATAAATTTTTTTTATAGGAGCAAATAGAATACATTCAGAATAATAACAATGACATTTTGTGTTCTAATTTGAAATGGAAAGACCAAAAATGATCATGACATTTTCTATGAATTTTGTGTGTAATAATTCTATATTTACAGTATTATCCACTGTCAATTGAAGTGAAAGTGCTACTAGTTCTCCTCACAAAACAGTAGACATGGTTAACACGACCATCATCACAATTTGTGTGTTCATCTGCAAAAATCTTTGTTAAAGTTATAGGTACTCTAAGCAAAGTGAGAGATGATTATTACAGTACTTAATAGACGAAGCAGCAAATTCTGGTTTCAGTGTGCATCTCAACCTTCTTCTCCAGCTCATCCTTCTTGGCCCCGATGACTCTGTCGACCTCCTTCCCTTGCTTCACCAACACGAACGTCGGCATCGCCTCCACCCCAAACTCCTCCGCCACATCCTATCCGCAAAAAAATGCAATTGATCATCATCAAATCAAATTCGACTATTTATATCTGAATAAAAAATAATAAAAAAAACAGAGTCTTACGGACAATTCATCGACATCGATCTTCAGGAACTCGACGTCGGTGAACTTGTCGGCCATCTCGTGGATTGCCGGCTCCATGAGCTTGCAGGGCCCACACCACGACGCAGAGAAATCCACCACCATCTTCACAAATTACGCAACACAAGAAGGGGGATATATATATATATAACTAAGATACGATTCAGATCTTGAAATTCGATTAACAACTTTACTAATAACAGATAGAGAGAGAGAGAGAGAGAGAGAGAGAGAGAGAGAGAGTATGTATGTATGTACGAGCTTTGAGGTTTGTTTAGAGGCATTAAAGTGGAGCTGCCAACTGTTGGATGAGTGAAATGGGATGACGCGAGATGGCTCCGAGGACGTTGCGGAAGAGTTGTCGGCGTTTGCAGAGTCTCCTCCTCCTCCAAGCAAACTAGACACAGTTGCTCCCATTGTTGTTCTGTGTGTCCGCCACAGCGACAGAGAGAGAGAGAGAGAGAGAGGAGTCAAAACTTGAAAGTAGACAATTATGGTGCTGTTTGGTGTAGCTGTTAAAACAGATTATAGATTATAGCTTAACAGATTATAGATTATGACTTTAATCAGAAGCTGTTAATCTGTTTGGTATAGCTGTTGAATTATAGATTTAAGTTGCTGAGTAGTGTTTGTTAAATAAGCTGTGAAGTAGCTTTTTCAATTAATTTTTATTTTTTATTATTCACTATTTGTTTACATTTTTTATAAAAAATAATAATAATATTTAATAGTCCATTTGGGTCTTTTTCTATTTTTAAAAAAATAAAAAATAAAAAAAACTAAGAGTATAACCGTGAATTAACATGTCCACAGCAGAAGCTGATAATCAGAAGCAAGGGGTGAGCAGCTTCTCAGAATCAACTTTTTTGACTTAAAATAAGTTGTTAGAATCAGAAGCTGTTTGATATAAGTTTAACCAAACAGTCCAAAATAACTTTTTAAAAGCTAAAAGTCATAAGTTGGCTTAAAAAAGCTCTACCAAACACCCCCTATATACCACAAACTGATTTTATAGAGCGGATGTTTGGGAGGTAGGTTTTTTTAATTGTAGAATTTTGTTAGAAGAATTTTTTTTTGTGTTTAGAAAGATAGTTGGATTTTTTTATAGTTGAATGTGATGTTTGTAAGAAAAAAAATGAAATGATTATAGTATTTGATGTAATATTTTATTTGAATTTATTTTTTTTAATTTTGTAAAATTTTATCTTGTAGTGAAAAAAAACAAAAAAAAAATCTAAAAATGAAGTTGCCAAACACCACCTGAGAGAGAGACCCGTGTCTTGAACGCTTATTCTTTTTTGATGTAATAAGTACATATTTGTTACGCCAACCATAAACTAAAATTCATATAAAATGGGAAAAAATTTAAATTTTTTTTTATTAAATTGAGGGAGGTTGGAGCATATCATCGAATTGAGAAGGGAACCATTCTTGTTGCAGCCTTGCAAGTAACAATTGGGATGTTACAGGATACCAAACGACAAACTGGTTATCCGTTGATGCTTGCAAAAATGGAGAGAAACATAAGTTGGTCAATCGTTCAGATATCTTTCCGATCGATCAATTATTTGATGAAAATTAAAAATTTAACTTCAAAATATTTGGTATCAGATGAAAATTTTAATCAAATCTATACTGAAAATTAATGAAAAAAAAGAAAGAGTAAGCATAACATTAGATTTTGGTGCAGTTTGTTAAAATTAGTAATTGTACGGAGAGCAAATATTCCGGCAAGCCCGTACTCCTTTCTTCCGAGCTCTGTTTCCGTCCGATCACCTGCAAGCAAATAACGGTGAGCTACCCGGCGGTGTGTGGCCGGAAAAACCCTCCGACGATCAAGTTAGCACATACCTTAGGATGGAGAGAGAGAGAGGAGTGTTTGAGTGTAAGAATTCCTTACAAAGTGTTCGTCTGTCCCCGTATGGGGGGCGCAGACATGCTTATATACCCTCTGCGCCCCATATCCACTCTCAGTCATTTCTTGACACGTGGCTCCGCTATCCCATCTGTCAGCATAAACCTTGCTGAATATCACCTAATCTCAACTGCCTGCCTTCTCAGCTGGAGCTCGACAACCGAGCTTTTCTATCCACGGCCGTGCTGTGCTTCATACCCAAGCACTTCACGGGCTAAGCCCAAGGAGGACCGGGCTAGGCGGCATCTCGGCAAAGCCTAGCCTGGGGCACCTCCTGCGGTCGGCCTTCCTGCCGATTAAATGATTACCTCGGCTGACCACGCCTTTCCGGGCACCGGTCATTAATCTTGATTGGCTCCACCATCGCCTGATCAAGCAGCACGGTCCAACCGAGCACTGCCTTGCCGAGCAGCTTCTTTACGGTCTGGGGCAACTCCTGCCTGGCCCAACTCCTGCCCGGCCCAACTCTTGGCAGCCCATCTCCGGGCGGATCGCCGGTCATCTCGGCCCCATGCACCATTAGGCTCTCAACTTGCTCGGTCGTTGGCTCGGCCCAATTCCAGATCATAAATCTCCCTCTCAATTGCCCCTTAATTCCGTCCGCGCGAGCGTGACTGGGATTACCTATATTTTGACCGAGGTAACATTTCTTCGGTCTTCAAAATGCCAAAGGGCGACCGGGCTAGTTAACATTACTTCTACAAACTTGCCCGGTTATATTCCTCGGCTGACGTCCTCTTCTTTGAAAGTAGCTCGGTTGGCTCTTCGACTCTTCAACCTGTCTCAGTTTTGACGTCGCCATAAATGGTGACACGTGGCGGGCTGCCATTGGTTCTCGAGCAGCCAAACTAGCCGTCCGCCAGAATTTAAATTTTTGGCGGTTTCTTCGTCTATACATACAAACCCCCTCTTCCTCAACTCGCTCCTACTGCTTCTCTGCAATCCGACGCTTCAGAGCTCAAGCAACTTTCTCTCAGCCTCGTCTGCCATTCTTCGTGCTCGAAGGAACAATTCCTGCCTTTCATTGGTAAGTCCTTCGACCCCTCTCTTGTTGCTATCTTCTTAAATATTTCTCACATTAGGGCACTAAAACATAGTTCTTAGGGCGTAGCCATAGAAACCGTCCAAAACCTGCCACTGTTCATGGTGTCCTTCGTTTTTCATGAAGAACACTGAAGAACTGGGGTGGACCGGGCTCCTGGTCTTCATTTGATCCAAAAAACCAATCTAACCGAGCAAATAACATGTTTGTCTCAACCCCAGCAAAAACTGAGATAACAAAAGGAAATGGTCGCTCAACCGGGCTAACAACTGGTCTGCTTGGGCGACCGAGCTCTTTAGTTAGCTTAGACGACCGAGGTGGTTTGGCACCCTTAATGACCGAGCTAAAGTCCAGCTCCTTCCGCGCGACCGTGCTCACACTTACACTTGCCATCCTTTTCCTGCAGAGTCCAAGGGGACCACTGTCCATTCCTCAGGCTCTCAAGACCGAGCAATTACCAATTGCCACTGTGCCAAACACCTCAGCCGAGCTACCTTAGTCCGGCCACAAATGGGGAAATTCCGCTTCCTAGTGGATACTCCGGCCGCGCTAGCTGCATTCAGAGAGGAGTACGACATCCCGGCCGACGTCCATCTCGAACTGGCAGAAGAGGAGACAACACCCTGGGGCAGACTAGACCAATGCCCCTTCACCGTGTTGTCTATTGTCGAAGGAGGCCTCCGTTTCCCACTAAACCCACTTATCACCGAGTTCCTCCGCCGCACCGGGCTGGCACCCACACAAGTGTCCACCAACACTTATCGAATTATCAACGGCGTTCATGAACTGAACAATCGGCTAGGCACCAACTTAGGTCTAGCCGAGATATTAAAGCAATACACGATGGGTCACACCGATGACAGCCTAGCTTATTACTTGAAAATCAGACCGGGCAAGGAAAAAATTGTAACCGGCACCCCGGATAAAGATCTGCACGATGACGATTTTTTCTAGGTGTCGGGCAATTACGAAACAGCCGAGGTGCCGGGCTGGTTTATAAGCAAGAACTTCGGTTCCTCATGTAAGCCGCTCAAACTTGTTCGGTCAGCTTACCACTTTATTCTGTAATTAACCGGTTTTCCTGTTTCTTTTGCAGCAATCCAAGCCTTGCAAGCTAACTATCAGTTTCCCAACGTAGAGGCAATTCGGACCGTGCTTCGATATTCCCACCGAGATTGCAACGATTTGCTCGGTTACACCCTGACCTACAGGTACTCTGCTCCGCGCCGGAGTAAAGTAACAGACTTCCTCCGTGCTCCTTCGACACCTCCAGACCCTACCCTTCCTGACGTCCCCTTAATCCGGTTGACAGACGAACAAGAAATGGCCAAAAGAAGCCGAATCAAAAACCTTCTCACTGCAAACTCGGCCGAGATACCGAGCGTCGTCGCTCGCTCCCCGGCTGCCGGTCAATCAAGCGCCGCCGTGGTCGCCTTAGCTTCTCCAGCCGCCGGGCAGTCTAGCCAAGAAACACGCCGGGCTGGCAAAAGACCACGGGCAGATCCCTCTGCCGAGCTCATCGCCGAACTGACAACCGAGCAACCTGCCGACAGGGTCAGCTCCATCCCAGAATGGCGGCCGCAGCTGAAGCACCGGGGCAAAGAGATCCCGGCAAATGCTTCGGTCAAAGGCGACAAAGAGCACTTGCTTGCCTTCGACCTCTCAAAAGCTCTGCTGCTGCCCAGCGACGTGGTTGGAAGCGACCATGTTCCTGACACCCGGCTGGTCAAATCCGCCGTGAAGTCCATGACCAGGGTAAGAAGTTCAATCTTTTGCTTCAATTTTCGCAAGTGTTTGCACGGTTTCTTCTCTGATCAATTTCTCATTTTGCAGGCCATCCAAAAGCAGCACTTGGTCATGGAGCGCATCCACAGACTTCGGCAAAAGGCGAGTGATACCGCCAGCCAAGTCGAAAGCCTCTAAACCGAGCTTGGCCGAGCAAGGTCATCCCTCGAAGCCGCCAATTCCGACAACAACTGGCTGCTCGGCCAACTTGAAGCAGCCAAGAAAGAGAAAAACGAGCTCCGGGCCGAGCTCGACGAGCTTAAGAAGTCCAGGAAAAAAGACTGCGAGGACGCCAATAACGCCAGCTTCAACGAAGCCGAGGAAAACTACAAGAAACAAGTCTTTGCCACCCAGGACATTTACTTCAAGGCTGGGTGGAAGGTTGCCTGTCAACAGCTCGGTCAGGGTCCTAACACTGACGTGTTTTCCTCTCCACCGGCTGTCTTCTTACCGACCTACCTCATTCCCTATGCCAATGACACCTTCAACGCGCTGCAAGCTGAGGCCGAGGAAGGGCTTGAAGAAGAGGGTGAGGCAGACGCTGGAGAGAGTCTTTGCCACCCAGGACATTTACTTCAAGGCTGGGTGGAAGGTTGCCTGTCAACAGCTCGGTCAGGGTCCTGACACTGACGTGTTTTCCTCTCCACCGGCTGTCTTCTTACCGACCTACCTCATTCCCTAT